TACAATAGTACAATAAAATGTGTTGGACCTCACGTTTATAATAAAAATAAAAATTATATGTTCGCTAATATGGTTTATTTCATTGTCCATTTCAATTTTTATATATATTTTATCATCACACACGTATTTTATTTTTAAAGCTATTAAACAATGAATTCCTTATACAAATAATATTCTTTTGTTATTTAGAGAAGACACATTTCAATTTTTATTATTGAAAAATTATCACTCATTGAACAATTCAGTATCTAATGATTGCAACAAAATACACAAAAATGTTTAACAATAAAATTCTACGCGACATAATCAAATATCCAAATAGCGGGAAATTTATGAAAACTCTCATATATTATTATGATTCGATTTTTACGTAGGTATGAAATTATAAAGTAATATTTTGAGGAACACACGAACTTTCCTTTCGGTTGTAATTGGATTTATTTTTAACAGAACTGAAGCAAAGTGAATAACGAACTTGACGATAACTGGCTAATACAGTCCATGGACACTTGCAACCATCTTTAAGCAAAGAAGACTACAGAATCTTTATTGCGTAGACAGAGAATTTATTGCCCTTGATGACTAAGATGGTGTGCTCACAGTCTATAATTATACCACAGATTAATAAATAGTTTACCAAATTATACTAACTTTTCTGACAGACCGGACCGAAATAAGAAAGTGCAAGCAATGCAATTTTATACAAATAGATATGCAGGTGTTATCTCATCTACCTAGACGGACCCTTAGGTGGGGGGTGGGGGGTACCACCTAGTAAAAAATGTGGTTAAACTTTACGTAATTATATATATAAATATTTCTTTTGCTATAAGTTATCAAGAAATTCAAATTAAATTTATATAAGTACAGTGTAACAAACTGTTTACTTTCTCCTGAAGAGCAACGTAGGCGTGGAATTAATATTTCATATGAGGCTCAGAGCGAGCTTAGTAAACTAGCGCACAGCGTCGGACCTTAAATATTAAAACGTTTCTATAACGTCGTTTCTAAGCCTGCTAGCTAGCAAGGGAACATCTTTACCGCCTTTACACTTCATTTTAATGTGGCATCCTATATTAAAATATTTTGTATTTTCGTTTTACTTACATTTATAGTATAGTATGTATAATTGTGTATTAAACTTAACCATACTTTCACATACATAGAATAAAGAAGAGGTAATTTATGAAAATCTTCACTTTTGACATGCCATGTTTTATTATTTTTAATTAGTACATTTTCATCATCATCATCATTACCGTCTTTCACAAGTTCACTGCTGAAATAGGTAAGTAATGTAATAATATTAATTAAGTTACCTATTAATAAAACACAAAATAACAAATATTGAAAACCTCAAGACAAACGTTGTAATCGCGAAAGGAATTAATATTCTTTTAAGGAAAGATAAAAAAGGGAGATTTGTCTCGATATCTGTTATATAAGCTACTAATTATGACTTTCCTTAGTTATTTTATTTCAAACTTTTTGGAGATCCTGACATTACTGTCTAAATATCTGTATATTTTTCTGTCTTTCTGTATGTTTTACGTCTTGCAAAATATTATAACCCTAATAACCCTTCCCCATACTCTTCTTTTTTAGGGTTTTCTTATTGTATCCGCTATTTTTAACATATTCATTTAAATTTGTTACCGTAAAACTTATTGTGCCTAAATTTGAATCCAAATGTTACTGATATATATGTAATTGGTTAAGGAATAACACTTTTTCGTTTCCAACTTACCTACATAGCATTCGTAATAATAGAAGTTCACAACCAAATGATACAAAACTTTATCTCGTTATAATAGTAGAGCAGAGCAAATAGTTACTGCGAGTTATCTCGGCTTAGTAATAACTGATCTAATCAAGGAAAACTCTTGAACAAATAATGGCGGCATTTGAAGTGTTACAACGATTGAGAAGGATCTTGCGCGAGTTACAAATCCAGAAAGCCGAAGAAACGCCCCAAAGATGTCTTTGATCCAGACCTGTTATCATGGCATTACAAATGAATACTCTAATAACCCAAACATGATATATGACATCGATAACCCTGTCAAAAAGATCCCAACTACTGAATTAACTATTATGTTTGTATGTTTCTGACGATGTTTTTCTGTTCTATCATCCACTCATTAGTTCATATACAGAACCTACACACCAAACATCATCAAAATTGTTGAAACACTGTCTACTGGCTATGTGCCTTTGCAAATTCTCCAACGACGTTGGCCTGCTTCATCACCAGACTCTTGACGACCTTGAGCGTTCGGTCTTATAAGGTACCAACTTTTTTACGAAAAATGTCTGAGTTTTTTATCAGTGCTAGAGCCACGTGGCAGATTTTGCTGTTTCATGTATGGGCCGGCTTAAGCCGGTGTGCCACGACATCATAGAATACTGGCATGAAGTGGAAGCTTTGTTTGCGCGTCGTCACAAGTGGTGAGTGCAGGTAGCTAGAGACCCAATTCCCGCTCTCCCCACCCATTCAACACGGTAGCGGAATTAAATGTCAGACATCCCAAGGAGGGTACCAGCACCCTTAGAGAATCCCTCGCTGAGCATCCACGAACCTTGCTACGCTATCCGTAAATTTCTGCAATATCAGGGGATTTCACTTGAACCTAAACGCCGTCAACTACCAACTCGAGACGGCGAAGCCGCTTCTCCTCTTTCTCACCGAGGTGCAGGTGTCCTCTCTGCCTTATACTTCTTATCTCTCCTACACGGGGTACAAACACTTCTTTGTGCATCGTGCTGGAGTTTGCGTATACGTCAAAGAGGACATCTGTTCTCGACGCCTCGGCTGTCTTGAAGGTTCGGACATGTTCGACATGACTGGTTATTCGCCCATGTGGATTCCAGATGTGGAGGATCATGCACCTTCCCTGTTGGAACTTCTGCTGACCTCTCATCTGGACAGATATCAGATTTCCGTCGACGCCCCTTTAGGCTCCTCGGACCATTGTCTTTTCCAGAGTGTGGTGCCACTCATGCCGAAATCGCAGTTGTATTCTGCAGGCTGCCGCCGTATTTAGCATTATAGGTCAGCCGATTGGGATAGGATGCGGTCTTACGAGTTTGGGCTCACACATCAACGTCCCGGGATATAAACATCAGCGCCCTAAAATAGAAGTATGATTCCGCAGGTCCTCCAAAGAAATCATTGGCAAGGCAAGGTCTGAGAACATCAGCAGAATTGGCGAGAAACTAGTTCACCTTCCTTCAGGATCTCATACATTCTGGTCTCTCGCCAAAGCTGTCCAAGGCAATTTCTGTCAGCCATCTCTTCTATTTTTGCACAGTTAGGACGACTCACTGGGAGAAAGCCGATCTGCTAGGCTCTTCCTTTGCGTCCAACTCAACTCTCGATGACAGGGGAGAGCACCACCGACCATCCTGTGGTGTGAGTGCTTCATACCGGATCTGCAGTTCACACAGCGCTCGGTTTGCAAAACACTTCTCTCATTAGACATCCAAAAGTTGAGTGGGCCTGACGGGATCCCCCTAATTGTGCTCAGGTCGTGTGTTCCCAAGTTGGCACCTACTCCCTAATCGTAGTCCCAAAATCATGGAAGACGTCTTTTATCCACCCGATACCTAAAAAAGGCAACCACTCAGATCTGTTAAACTACAGGCCTATCGCCGTCATCTCCTTGTTCTCCAAAATAAGGGAATCCATTATAAACTGCCAGCTCATGCAGTACCTTGAGGATCACCAGCTGATTAGTGACTGCCAATACGGTTTTCGTCTGGGTTGATAAGCTGGTGATCTTCTGGTCTACCTGACTTATCTATGAGTGGAGGCAGTAGAGTCCAAGAGGGAGGCATTGGCCATTAGTATGAATATTACGAAGACCTTCTTTCGAGTTTGGCACAAAGCACTTCTTTCGAAGCTCCCTTCCCATGGGATTCCCGATAAATTGTGCAATTGGATCACCAGTTTTCTTGCAGTACTGAGAATCAAGGTAGTTGTAGATGGTGCATGCTCCGATTACAAGCCAATTAATGCTGGCGTTCCACAAGGCTGCAAGCAAAACCACTAAAGCTGTTTCTTCTGCATATCAATGATATGTTGCAAACCGGTAACATTTATTACTATGCGGATAACAGCACTGGTGATGCCTTATACACCGAAGATACAAGTTTGCGCGTTTACCACTAAAAAGAACCTCTTTGTCGTATCTCCTGCGTTTCAAGGCATTCCCCCTGTTGCCTCAGCCAGTATTGGAATCTTAGGCGTCGACATAACTAGTGGTGTGCAGTTTCGTGGTCACTTGGAAGAGAAGGCTTGGTGTGCTCATCAGAGTGGGACAGTATTTCACGCCGGCACACCGCCTGCAACTTTACAAGGTGCATGTGCGGTTCCCATCTCTGGGCTGGGACTCTACAGTGGCAGCACCTTTCACTTGACTGCATCCAGCGCAGATCAGCTCGAATCGTCGACGGCCGAGGGTTTTCCAATTGGCTCGATTCACTGGCGTTGCGAAGAGATGTTGCATCTCTTTACATTTTCTTTCGCATCTACCACGGGGTAAACTTACCGATACCACCCACACCATCTGGGTGCTTGGCGGTCCACCACTACGTTTATACGTTTCACTAGGAGTTTTCTTCAACGTACGACCTATCTGTGGAATAGTTTACCACCGGCGATTTTTCCGGACCGATACGACCTAGGGACCTTCAAGAAAAGACCTTATTCCTTTCTAAAAGGCGGGCAACGCACCAGAAATTCCCGTGGTGTTGCAGTTATTCACGGGCGGCAGTGGTCACTTAATATCAGGTGAACCGTAGGCTCGGTTGCCTCCTCTCCTATAAAAAAACACATTCATCCTTTCTCCAAAAAGGTGATTTATTGTATGTAATCTTTTGATGAATGGTATATTTTGGTGAGTCTGTTTGAAACAAGGGCGGATTCAGAGTGAGATTTTACAAATTCTACAGTAGTAAGAAGTTTCCTTCCTACCCCGTACAACCCCGTTGAGCTTTACCGACGTCTGCATAAACATTAAACATTTTGTACGGCTTTTTTGCCGATATTGCGGGAATCAGCTCCAGAAAATGTCCTGTAAGTCGATTGACGTCTTTTCCGTTAGGCGAGCTTCTGCTAGGTTCGGCTTGGTAGTCCAGACCAGCTGCTTCTGCCAAGGACGTTGAAATTTCGTAAGATTCATCGATCAGTTCTGCAAAGAAATAGTAAAAAAGTAGGTAAAATTTTAAAAATGTGTAAATACCTCGTAAAAGTACCAAAGACAAAACAAGTACCTCGGATATCATCATTAACGACTCCACAGGGTCCTACTCTGACTCGAAACGACCTGACCTGTTATGCTTCTCATATCTACACTTTACAAGCTACGCACAAAAAAATCTATGTGTGCGTATTCAAAGAACAAAACTCGAAGTGGTATAACAGCAAATAACGAAAGTGGTGCGTGATTTTAGAACAAACAGTACTGGAATCAGATAACAAGATCTCGACGTGAGCGGCGATTGAGATCAAAATTGTAATATCGTGACGTTTACGTGAGCGGCTTTCAAAGTGTTGATCCTGTATCATATCTCTTGAAAAATATGATAAAATTATATTTTACCGCTTCCCAATCATAATAACAATAATTATAATAATTAATTTTCGTTTACAATTATATGTTTATAGAACCCAACCAGATGGGAAAACTGTATAAATACCTACCCCATATAATAATAATAATTTATTTGACTCTCAATTTGACAGACTACACTTATGTGTTACCTATATGTATATCCATTTTAAAGTAGTTAGCGTCCGCGCAGTCAGTTTGCGATGTGTTTTATGCACGCTTGACCAAAGTGCTTAACAGCTTTTTGTCCGGTGTGAATAAGACACAAGCAAATAACGGTTGGGTCATGCCTGTTCTCATCTCTCACGCCTTAAATACAAGTCCGCTCTACTATGACGTACCATAGTATGCATCACACGAGATCTTCAATTATGAGGCTGTACTTGCCCCTGAAATATGGTGAGCGTGGCCTTTTAAACGCGCTTACCATGCGTAATCGCGAAGTGTACAGCCTACGTAATTACTTTCTGATCAGATCAGATGTTCCGTTCTATAGGGACGCAATTTCTTGTAACAAAGGTCTTACCCCTCTATCCTTAGCCAACGAGCAATGGTAAGACCCGGCAATACAGAGCATTTGCACTACTTTTAAATGATGTAATAGCTTAGTTGTAGTTATATTGTAATTACATAGTGTTAGATTATTACATATGTAGTTTATGCTGGCCTCAACTCCACTACCCATGAACATGAATTTCTATTGTAATATGACGGTATTTAAAAAAATTGCTTTAAAAATAGCCGAAACACTCTTAACGGCATTCTAATACCCTCCACGGGTCGTAAATGTTTCTGATGCTTTAACTAAGGAAGAGCAAATGATTATAACAATTTTGGTTAAATTTAAGCCTATATACTACGCTTTCTCCATCTAGTGATAGGAATAATTTTCAGCATACCCCTCTAATAGGTTTCCGCATTATCGTGGCGGTCATCCGCTGTGAACAAAGAGGAACCCACTTGGCTGGCCCGAGATGGCCACTCCGAGTAGGCTTGACGAACCCTCTTCGGATGTATTTGTGTGAGAAGGGGTGTCCTCTCCCCCTACCACTGTAGCCGAGGTGGAGTCGCGGTGGAAGAGGAGTGTTGGTATGGCCACCCGCCTCCTAAGCTACTCTGGAGGGGTCGTTGATGCGGTGATGGTGGGGCCACGGGGTTAGATGAGTTTGTATTGCAAGGCGAAGAAGAAGAGAAGAGAAGAGAGAAGAGAAGCCAGATCTGCAGCTGGGTTCGGGAAAGCAAGTGCTTTCAAGTGCTCGTTTTTCCTGACCCCATGGCTTCCGTGTATCGGACTCGGGGGTGCCCGTTACGCAGGTGGGGTTAGAGTCCGCGGAAGAAGGCGCGCCTTGTGTTTTTGTTGTTGTCTAGTGCGCCTACTACCCGAGAAGGAAAAGGGAAGGAGAATTTCTCCCCGAGGAGGGACTGCCCTGGGGCGGGCGGTGCTAGTAAGGCTGCGAATGTGTGCGAAAGCGTTCCAGTGGTCCTGTCCATTTGCGGTAAAGGTACAAAACAATGGTTTTTTAACCGGTGCGAGCCCTAAATAAGCCGTTCTTAACCCCGCGAGAGGCGGGTACCATCGGCTCTTACCAGAATGTGGTATTCGTTTGTCATTTACATTAAATAACATATTCCAGGCTTTCATTCACAAATACTTTACTATTCATAAACTTATATTCATTAACTTAGCAGCACGAACGGGTCGGCTCGACCGTAGTACTACTAGTACTAGTACTACGTGAACACAAAATCTAATCCAAGAACTGGTGATACCGTTACCGTTACAGCTTATAAAAATCCACTGCTGAACATAGGCCTCACCCATAGATCTACACTGGCGCTGCGAAGAGATGTTGCATCTCTTTGCGTATTTTATCGCATCTATCACGAGGAGTGCTCTGAGGAATTGTTCGGATTAATCCCAGGATTAATCCCAGCCGTCAAATTTCATGATCGCACTACGCGGCAAACCTCCCTGTACTATCCACACCATCTGAATGCTTGGCTGTCTACCACTGTACGTTTCACAAGGAGTTTTCTTCCACGTACGACCTTTCTGTAGAATAGTTTACCACTTAACATCAGGTGAACCGTATGCTCGTTTGCCCACTCTTCTATAAAAAATACACAACTCTAATCAACTACTCGCAAAGAACATAATATTCTTTGCAACATAAAGCTCATGTTTTTTCGCATTGTGAGTATGTATATATCATAAACACTAAATTAGTCAAGAAAAGTAAATATGACATAATGGTATATATTATGTAGAACACAAATTTAAATAATAAATTTTGATTATTTTTTTAAAGACTCAATGCAAAAATTTCTTAATTGATAAAAGAAGCGAGTTCCATAATTTGATTGCTTTGAACAAAATGACGAATTAATTAATTTTGAGTTGTGAGCGGAACTTCGTAAAATGAGGTTATCAGCTAATCCGAAATGATCTTTATCTGCCCCACGAACTATTTTTTTTTTCATTTTCATTTCATTTAGGATCAAAAAGTACATCGTACAGTAGGGACAGAATGTCAGTATTCCGACGAAGTCTAATATGGAGCTACTTGAGCTTAATACGAATCTCAGAAACATGATCAAATTTGCGAAGACCAAATATAAAACTTTCAGCGAAATTCTGAAGACGCTCAAGCTTAATTTATTGACCCTAATTAAGATTAGAGTAGCATGCATCAGCGTTATCAAAGATAGGGAATAATAAGTCCTGAGCCAGTAAAATTTTAGTGGGAATGGGTAGCGTGTTACGCAAGCGTCGTAAGAAAGATACTGCCGCAAACATCTTTCTACTTGACTCCTTAATATGCAGAAAACAAGAACCATTATGATCAGTATATGAACCTAAAATCCTGTCTTTTACTGATTTACTAAAAGTTATTTATAGTTACTAAAAGTTGTTCACAGTTTATTATCACAGTATCAGACGTTTCACGCCTTTGACGTTGCACACACCATATAGCAGAAACAAAAGAGCTATCTACGTTTACAAAATGGTTATACTTGGATATATTTATTTCCTTGAAATCGGTGTTAAAAACCCATTTAAACATTATATTTCAGTAGCAAAACTCAGCTAACTTCCCCTGAGTGTATACCAACTAGCTGACCCTTCCGAGACTTCATTTGCGTGAACAAAAATGTCAATTTTAAAAATTATTTTACAAATATAAAGCATAGAATAGCTTTATACGAGTATTTGTAAAATAGCGAGCCCTAAGCGAGTCAAAAGTTTTCAGTCAAAGGTTTTAGAAATACTTTCATTGTCTGTGTTTCCTGATAGCTATAGCCTGGGGATATTTAAGTCAAGAGTGAATTCGTTAATTCTATTATTTCATTAGAATAAAAGCCGCTTTAAAGTCGATCGGTTTAATGTCGGTATCATCGGAATACCTGGAATGTACAGAAGCTTCCCGGCTGCAGGGCAAGTGAGGATAGATGTAATAATCACATTGTCTTTTAGATCTTTTGTTAAAAGTCTTGTGCTATTGCAGATATTGGGGGGGGGGGACATAAACTTGTCCATAGTGTAATGGGAATATCGACTTTCAAATTTAGGGCGTGTGATAGCAGACCTGTCCGATTTAGAGAATTCAAAAATTCTTGTGGATAATGAACTGTATATTGTATGCCATTTGATGACATGAATTTTTTATCGCCTCGCATGGCCTTACCTTATCAAATTAATCGTTTCTTCGTAAAACTATGGCCGTAAAACAATGTCAATTGCCCATTTTAAATATCCAATCTACTTGATGACTGTTTGTATTTAAGAAATATCGGAAATATATTTGTATTTAGGTAGGCAGATACTGAATATTTTCCTTGCATTTATAATTTTTATATTCGTGATAATTTCTAAACGAAAGGTCCGATTCCAATCATATATACTTGACTCCACTGAGTCTGTAATTCATTCTCGGAGCGATTTATACGCTCTTACAACGAAATCCCAGAAATTATACAAAACTTGAGCTGCTTAAAGTTCAGAAACTTTGTTTTTAAACTAAGTTTGTATAAAAAGTTATTATAATATTAAGTAATTTGTGGATGATAATAACCCCTGGGCAAAGTGATCGCTACCAAGCTATTTCTAATTAGTTTTATGTGTGTAAATTGAATTGTAAGCCGTTATTTTTATAAAGGGCCCGCTAGGTTTCTAGCTGATTCTTCTCAGGATAGAACTATTTTTTTTTTTCAAACTAGTGGTAAATTAAACGAAAGCGTGACATTCAATAAGTATTATTTAAAGTCTATATTGGATAATAACAGTTACTATTTCTGTTTCTATTGTCTCACGGACTTTAATGTAGAATAATAAGTTCCCACAAACATCTAATGCATTATTTTATTCTACTATCACAACTCTAACTACAATCGTTTACGCAGCGCACGCCTAGTAATAAAATTTATAGGCAATTTTTTGATACCTTGGGTTAAAACAAAGAATAGTCTATGTAACTTTCTGATTATGTAACTTTCTATAGGTTAAATAATTTTTTGAATCAGTTTGATAGTTTTAAAGTTAATCCATTACAATCAAAAATACAAAAACAAGTCTTTTTTTTTTCTTTAAAATATTTGTTTATATGTTACTAACTGATAATGTATGTTTTCATAATATGTCTAAGAGGTTTTAGAATCGGTTTAGTAATTTTAGAGTTTATCCATTACAAACAAAAATACAAAAAACGAATCTTTTGTCTCCATCATATTAAGTTTAGATTTAGATTATCATGGCCATCATGGCGATTGGTTGAACGGTATAGGATGCAGCAGCGCCATCCAGTGGTAAGAACTAAATGGATAGTATAAAAACCTTTTTCACATATATGCGCCAACATCCACTCTGTATAGGTAACGAAACCGATCAATGAAATATTAAAGTATTAAAATCCTTTTGAATGCAAAATAAATCTGTACCTAACGTAATGCAATATTGAAGCTATTTTCAGTGCGTAGAAATGCTCTCGGCAAATCTCAACCGGTCTATTAATAATTAAATACGTCACTCCAATGGAAGAGTGCTCGTTTAAATATTTCTGATGTTCAAAGCATGAAGGAAATGCAAATATCTCTAACACGGAAATGTGAATTATGTTATTTGCAAATGAGTATAAATTTTAAATTAAGTAATAAAGAAGAAACATTTCTTTGGTTGACATTGAAACAGAAAGAAGTGCTAGGGCAATAATCTGTGCGATATATAGCGAAGCCAGCACGCATGTTCAGTCAGAGTCTGGAACAACCTACAAGTTCAATTTCACTCTGGGCTTGCATTAGGGATCAGGTTTAATTTCCTATTTTTTCTTCCTAGTAATGAATTCACTGAGAACGGACATACAGGTGGTACGATATTGTTCATGTTGGGAAAATACACAGGTGGTCCAGAGTAGATTGGGAAATGGTAGGAGAGATTAGAGTGTCGAACTGACGACGAGCAGAACTTGTTTTGTGACTTTGAGGGTCTATCAAATTTCACTAAAATTTCCTTACATGATGTATCCCTACCAGTCTCCTCCAAGTTTCCAATCAAGTCGAAAATTAACCAAACCTGAAACTGAGTTTGAAAATAAATTATTATTTTTAATAATAGTATTAATATCAGCGTTTGTAAGCCCCTGCTGAGGGCTTCCGTCGGGTTGAGATTTTCTATTTATTAAATTACTAGCTGTGCACGCGGCTTCGTTCGCATATAATCTTTTTTGTGATTAACGGGCAGCTACTTCAAAGGTGCGAGATGTCTTGTATTGCGATTGTTAATCTGTCTGTTAATCGGGTCATCTATGGCAAATCACTCCAGCATTGATAATTCTTGGACAATTCTGAGTCATAAAGTAAAGCGATAAAAGTATTTAGTTGCTGACTAAACTTTAGATCCGTACCTGCGAGCTGTGTCAATTATTGTCAATGCAAGGTAGGATGTTTCGTTGAGGGGTTAAACGCTCGATATAAATTTCTCAGTACGCAAGCAACCCGAGTTCGAACTCATTTTAAATTGCAATTTTAAGTTCTGATTTATCGTGAAAAAAAACATCGTAAGACAATTTGCACGTCTGAGAATTTAAAAAAAAAATATTTTATAACAAGTCCGCACACGCGCATTATTTGGGCAGCACGGCGTACATCTTTTAAAACCCTTAAAATCTATAATTTAAAAATTATGATTTTCATCATAAAAAAAAACTCTTATAAATAAATAATTATACAGTATAAAAATAGCATTTAATACAATTCATCCATTTTATATTCCCGAACGCGACGATTCTTAAATAAATTCTAAAACCGTAAAAAAATTGATTTTTCACAAAAAATCACGTTAGTGTAGTGTCTGTGTAAGAATATCTACTACCCCATAACAACCCGTGGGTGTCGTAAAAGGCGACAAAGCGAAACAAATCTGGAGATGGGCAGCTCAGCGTCTAACTAATAACGACTAAAAATAAAAAACAAAATAAAACTGCAGTTGCCAACTCGCTTGCCAATCATGGCAACTATGGCAAATATAAAGCAATCTTATGGGGGAGGCCTATATTCAGCAGTGGACTTTTATTGGCTGCAACGGTAACAGTATCACCAGTGCTATTATCACCAGTCCTTGAAAAAAAGATAAAAATTTCGCGAACTGAT